TTATTCTCAGTGCCAGGGTACTAGTCAAGGTACTGGATCATTTACCCGACGGTTTGTCTTCTAGATTCTATTCAGTTCGACGAAAACTGATCAGCATGATTTTGAGCAACCAACCTTCCCCAGAAAGGTGTTCTTCATGATGAGGTGGAACAGTGACCCGTGTCAATACCAACAAACTAGAGCACAGACCTGGCTGTGAACGTTTATAAGAAGGAAGTGTAATACCATGAATTAACGGTGCTTGGTGTTGTTTGTGTCTTGAACTCTCACTAGATCACTATCGAAACTTTACCAGCTAGTATTTCGGCGGTATAAAATTCTTCAGAGCCTGAAATGGATCAGAAACAATTAGAGGATATCCGATCAAACGTCTCCACAACCCTAATGAAGTTCGATGTAGCTAAACCATAGGTCTTCTACGATGGTCCGCTCCTGCATCGACATGAACTGAGTTTTCTCAAGCCCTTTACTACTGTGAGGGAGTTTTGAGCACACGAGAACACCTCGCGATACGTCTTCTGGCTGTCTCATCATGAGAACTTGAACTCCGACTAATCAAAACCTTCGATCCATGCTCGTAAGACCGAACTGCCCATTCTCAGCGAATGCAGAACTGCTATTTTGATGGCTCTCGGAAAACACGTAAGTAATTGTTGCTGGTCGCTTCGTTAAATACCTCTGATGAGTGCAGGCTAAATGGGTCGCTAGTAGTAGCTTAATGACCATTTTTTCATGGCTTCGCTCACTACGATGCCGGATAGTCACTTTTTATAAAAATGGGCTGGATCAGGGTAAAATATGCGGCAGTAACCTCTAAAATGCTAAACGGACTGTACCTTCAACCTGTCCGCTTTACCACGCTTCGAAGAACAATCCGTGTTCAAAAGAAATCTGAAGAGAGAGCCATGGACAGGCCTCGGACGGGACTCGAACCCCTACATGTGGTCAGAAAATAGGCGGTCGTCTCAAAATGCCTACCAAAGGTATAGTCGAATGGCATAATCGGGGTCATCATTGTATAGTTCATTAGATATTTTTAAGAAATAAAAATACAATAAAGTAAACAAAATTGACAAATTGAAATGAAAATTATACGATAAATCAAAATGCGCAAGAACATACCAGGAAAGTGATATACAAGCTTTTATAACCTCTCAGGTCAAGGAAGGACATTTTTACGTCCTACCACAGCGAATACGAAGCCATGTGAAAAAATTGCCCATAAGCTTGTATTCCACCTTCTGCCCTAAAATAATTGGAATGTTTCTGGAAAATTACTCTATGGCTATGATAGGTAATGTTAGAAAGCAAAACGCTCATAGAGCTGAATATCCGTCATGGCAATTCCCTACAGTGTATCAGCCAGCTATCCAAGTCTTCCTTTGAATATTTCTTGCAGGTGATCCCTTTTTGTAGGGTAATAAATAAAATAAGGGTTAGCTAGATATGTTTGAAAATATTTTATCTGATCACCAACCTTTTCGGAAATGGTGATGGTGTTGCATCTCATTACACTTGTTAGGGCAGTAACTGAATGTGTCGGATCATTGGTTGGTCTGTAGGACTGTATGTTTATCTCTGGGTTTGGCCGTGTACAAAACCTTTCATGATCGTGTTAAAGGATAAAAAGATGAAGGTTTCAGGACATTATTCAATCCCGTCTGAGGAATGCACCGACTTCCATTTAGAATCACAGCGGCCTACTGAATGCGCATGGGGCGATTCACTGACTTGCGATGGCCGGCCTATGTACATGACAGTGCTTTTATACTCCCAGACGAGTCTGGTACCAACTAACCGTCCCCGGAGGGATGGAACACTTGGTTGGCCCAGGCGGATATCAATCAGGGATTCGAACCCGTGACCATGCCTGTGTGATAGTGCGCACTTTCACTATATCACCTCCTCCCACACATGACTAAAACTCATGGCGAACAGTGTGGTAACACTCAGGAGGATATACCGAAGAAATAGCGATTCTACACAGGCCAGTGCATAGGTGCGGTGATTTCAACCGATCGATAGCTATCAATATCGACTGGCTGCGTAATTCAACAAGTATTCAATACTAGCAATGAACTCCCTTCTGTATTCGAGCAGCTACACAAAATGGAGAGGGTTGCATGTCATGAAGGGAGAACTCGGGATTGGGTTATCAAAGAGTACTTACAGGGCACCATACTGATGGTATCAGTCGGTGTTAATAACGAATGGCACCTTTTATCGATCGTGATGCGAAATTTTGAAGTAAAAGCAATACTTGGTACTATTTGGGATAATAAGGACCTGAAAGAGGGCCTTAGACAGTCTCATTTACTCATCTGATATCATGCGTGTTTGTCAGTAGGTCTTGCGTACTTGTGGAGAAGCACTAGCTGATTCCAAACTAGCAAGGTTCGTCTTGTGTGCTGTGACAGCAGTGTTGAGGAAGTCACAAACCTGCCCCACACACATTTTTCCAACCAGATCGAAAAAACATAATCATCGAAGGAATGCTTATGAAGTTGATCGATAATGTTTAGAATCTCATGCGATCAGACAACATTCACCAGCCGCGGCTTCCTTCAAACCGTCTTGACCGAGGTTCTCATCTTAATCATCAGGCGACAACATGTATCTCTTTGAATGCCCAGCTGCTGTTCAGCTCAAAACTGGTCTATTCCACTGCCTGATGTCCATAATGTTTTTGTCAGTAGCTCTCTTGGCCTCATTTTTGATTGAACCTGTTTTGAACTCCTATATTCCAAGGAGTAGTCGCTCATTATAGTGACTCTGGCTGTAGTAGGACGCCTCCAAAGCGCACATGTTGTTCCTCTCCTCTATTACTGGTAAATGACTGTGAGTAGGTGCAAGTTGTTTTAGAAAAAAGATGCTCTATAGACCTCTTTGTTCGCTCCTATGTCTCTATTCCCTCCTCATAATTACGATACTGGAAGGAAAAACTCGTTGAGAATGCTCGCGGAGATCCTCATTTCTTGAAGACTGCTAGATTTAGAACACTATATCTCCATTGAAAGTCTCTTCCTTAAGCTGAGGTGGTGTGGTAGCAAAAAGAGCAACCACACACGCATGAGTGAATCCCGGCTCGATAAACTCCTAGGATAAACAAGTCCTATCCCTCTGGGGGCCACTTAATTGATATCATAGTTGTATAGGAGGTTAAAAACAGTGATTTATAGATAAGCAGACTTTGCAACCTAGTCTACTACCAC